GCCAAACTGCGTTCACCGAACTTGCGCTGCCTCAAGCTGAGCTCCATTTAATTGAGCGGAGAAACATTTATATTTCATGCCAAGGATCTGTCATTTAATTTCGCCAACCTCCAATCTAATCCAATGGACCGCACTGAGTGGCACTCATAACCGAGTACAGCTGCACCGCAGTCCAAATTCGTTCGTTTGCTATCAAAGTAATTTAAATTTTGGAGCCTTCAGTGGGTACAAGGCGAATGTGTTTGCGGTTCTCTGCGTGTGTAGAGGGAGTGGCTGCAGATGCCAGAGTCGGGATTCGGGATTCGGGATTCGGGCGGATGCTGGCCAATATTGCGTCAACGACTTGCAAACAAAATTAGAAAAGAAAACCCAAGCAAGCGGTGGGTAGCATATGCTGCTGAGTGTGCGCCGGCATCAAAATGACTACACAAACTTTTCAAATTAGATTTCACACCCAAACTAAACATAGGGCGGGCTGAGACTGAGGCGTCTAACTGCAGGCAACGTCTAACAAGAAGCCGAAGCTGGGGCTAAATCTGAGACAGCAGTCGACACTTGTGCCCAGAGCATTGCCACCGCATTTGTATTTCAGTCTAATGGGTTAGACGGGGACGTCGCTCGACACTCTCTGTGAGCGACAGCTGTGGCAAACTTCAAGTGCAAACTTAGAAATGGACGCAATTAGTGTGCAATTTATGCGCCATGAAGCGGCAGCAGCAGCAGCAGCAGCTGAAGTAGAAGAAGAAGCTGCGACAGCAGACAATGAAATGATTGTCCTGCTTGTGTCTTGTGCATAATGTGTTGTGTCTTGTCTGCCTCGCAATTTGAATGGCCAAATTAGAATTGCCATTGACATGCCCACATCGCCCACCTCATACCTGTCTCCGCTTCGTCTGTGAGCAATTTTCCATTTGAAGCAGCGCGTGGGCAGCATTCGCAGAACAATGCATACGAGTGAGTGAGGGCGAGGGTAGGAGAGCAGGAGGAGGGAGGAAAGGCAAGCTCGCCCACTCGCCCACTCGCCCACTTGCCCACTCATTTACTCATTCAGTCAGATTTGCATCCGTCTGGAAGTCCCATTGTGCTCTGTCGAGCGCGTGCTATTAAGTTTAATGCACCGTGGGGCAGGCAGCTGCTCATAAATGCAAATTCTGTGGCTTGCCTACTGATGGCTAAACCGCCATCGGCAGCAGCCTCACGGCTCCCATCCACATCATAAATCACGCCGAAGGGCAGCAGAACTATCGTTTGATAATTTGCGAAAAATGGGACCGACAGACACCGCCATATTGCGAAGCAGGCGACATACATAAATACACATATATAACTATTACGTGCGTATGTCTGTGTGATACACACACACACAGACACACGTATGACATTTCACGCCTGCATCTGTCGCTGGCCCAGGGGTAGGGGGCAACGAATCAAATTGCAAAAAGCGGAAATCTGAAATCTGCCAAGCATCCACCTTCCCGGCTCAAACCCGCCCTGCTCGCTCTCGTAGGTGTGAGAGTGCGTAATTATGCGTTCGCAGTCGTAAAACTGAACTTTATGGCCGCCGTGGCAAGTACGTCTGGCTGCACCTCATGATTAGACCTCGTCCCGCTGCCTCTGCGCGCCTTGTCCGCTCTACCCGCTGCCATTCGATTGATTTATGCGTGTGTGAAAACTCGCCGATCTCTGCCGGCAGCCCGAATGGCCAAATGGCCAGTTGTCTCACAGCTGAATGCGATTTCATAACGCACATCGCAGCATCAATTATCCAGCATCGAGCATCCAGCATCCAGGTGGCAGACCCCAAAACGTGGACGTGCCACGCGCACATTTTGGCGCGCATACGCCCCATTGGCCGTCTGAACATGTTTTGAAAAAGGCGAAAGGGGAAGGGGAGGGGTAAAGGCTGAGGGTGCGCCCTCTCAAATATGAATTTCTCTATATGCTAAGGCTTGAGCTACTAGTTGATGAAATATTATTGAAGTATAATTGAAATGAAGTGATATATCTATATATATATGAGTTCATATATAATAATGTAGGTCAAGTCAATTTATGAATGTTAATTAAGATTTTTGACATCTCAAGGTATAACTCACCAATTATGGCATCTGTTTACATCAACAGTTTCTCTCCACCATCTGCGAGGGGTCCACAGAATAACCCAGTTCAGTTCAATGAAAGAACCTAACCTGCCCCAATGTCAAAAAATAGACTTATCTAATAATGCATAAAATACGCAACGAAAAAAGGCAGAGATAAATAATGGTAAAGGGAAATGAAAAATAATTGTTATTATCATACTATTCTCGGTTGGAGACAGACGCTCCTCTCTCTTCTCTCCCCTTCCTCGCGACAGCCCACATCGAATAGACATTCATTCTGTTCGCTCGCAATGCCTAAAGCGCTTAGCTACCATAGAAAACAAATGGCATCAACATCTTTATGATTTTATCTCTCTTTCTGTTTCTCTCTTCTTCGTCTTTGCCATCTCCCACTCTCACCCGCTCTCTCTCTCTCTCTCGCTCTCCCTCGCTCTTGTGTGCTACACGTAGGCACTTTGGAAGCTTTGCTGTTTGTGTATGTGTGTGTGCGTGACGTCGGCGCTGCAAACTGACGGACATAAGCAAAACAAACCATAAACGTGCGTAGCCAGCCAGAATGCGAATGCGAATGCGAAGGCGAAAGCGAAACCGAAAAACAAGAAACTAAACGAAGCATAAAGCAAAAAATTCAACCACAGTTTTCGTCAAAGGGTCGACATGAAACCCCGGTACTTCCTCCGTCGTCCCACTTTCCTCATCCATCGTCTGCCGTCAGTCGTCAGCTGTCCGGCTTTCCCGCTCCCGCTCCCACACCCGCTCCAGCCCAGCGAGAGCCATAAGTCAATGTCAATGGCACGCAGACAGACAAACGAGACCCCGCATACACACTCACACACACACACACACACACACACACGCAGAGCACGCAACTTTTTTGGGGCAGTGCTTTAACAGAGCTTCCATTTTTTAAAGGGCCTTGACATGCGACGTTAACCTGACGAGCTGACAATGCGGTGTTTACGGGCGGCGCTTGAAGTGCTTCGATCTGCAAGAGAAAAAGTGCAAAAATCAGAATTCACAATTTACAATCGATAATAATGCGGATATATGATAAGCAAAACTCTCATTAGTTGCAATATTAAGCCACGCCATAGAGCCAGCAACTTATGCCTGCCTTATTTAAGCTCACACACACACACACATATATACACATATATATATACACTCATACACACACATTCACATTCGCTCTCTTACACTGCTCCCGCTGCAGCTGGCAACGCAAACTCGTTTTTGCGCGACGGCTTTAACGGTAAACAAAAGCACAAACCTCTCAACTCAATAACTCAATAGTTCACAATAACTCAGCACAGATAGCACATGTTTCAGAACGGGAACTCGATTCTCGATGCACACATATTACTTATGAAAAACATTACAGCAATTAAATTGATATATGTATGTAGATACGTATGTATGTGAGTGGAAAGTACTTGAAGTTGATGCTTGGCTGCCGCAATTTTGGGACGTTTATTTTTTTGGCGGATGTTTGCTTTTCAACGTTTTGCGTTCATTTGAAGCCGTCGCCCGACGATTTCTTGTGCGCCGCTTGGTCGCTCTGCCTCTGCCTCTGCCTCTGGCTCTGCCACGGCCTCTGTCTCGGCCTCGGCCAACGACGTCGACGTCGCCGGCTGCGACGCGCACGCGGACTCCGAGGTTTCGCCCGTTTCTGTATCTGTGCGTATCTCACAGATATTACCCCACGGCCGCACAGAGTATCTGTGTGTATCTGTGTGCCTAGTAGTAGACCGTCTCGCCTCATGTGTGTGTGTGTATGTGTGTTTGCAGTGAGCGCGCTGCGTGTGTTTGTGTATGCGTGTGTGCGAGTATCTATGCTATCCATGCGCGCAGCGCCTCGGCAAATATCCCACGTTTGGTACTTTTCGAGTCAACTGCATGACAGTTAGACGACTAACAGCCGTTTACTCTAACTGGTACTTTGCGTGCATTGCAAATTCGAAATTGGGAAATTTCCCTTGCTGTGTGCCGGCAACTGCTGAGAAATTTCCCGGCCACGTGCTTGCTCGCATTGTTATTGCACAGACTTTGTTGTTATTGTTGTTGGCCCGCTGGTCCGTTGGCTTTGTGCTTTTTCGCAGTGGAGCTTTCAGCTTTGCGTTTTCGTTTGCCTTTTGCCTTTTGCTTTTGCTTTTGCTCTGCTCTAGTACATAACATAACCTTGCCCCCATCGCGGACACTGTTGATTTTGTTTTTGTTCTTCTTATTGTTGTTTTCGTAGTTGTTGTTGTTGCCAATCGCCGGCGCGTCTTCAATTCATTTATGGAGCACTTTCAGGCCGTCTGCGACCCATTTAGATTTTCGTTTCTCTTATTGCCTTATGCCACGGCCTCTCCCACACACACGCACACATGTATGTATACAGAATTCTGTTGTTGTAGTTGTTGCAATTAATGACCATTTGAATTATATTTGTGCTCGTAAAATTTACAAGAATTGTTTGCTGGCATTTGCCTGGCACTCATCCTCTCCCCAATGGAGCCTCTTCCACAGAATCCAGTTTTCCCATTCACTTTGTACGTAGACAGCACAAATTTTTACGACTTTTCTGTACAATGCGCAAATACTTTCACAATGGAGCAACGCCCAACGCTCATCCGCAGCAGCGTTCTGACCCGGACCCAGACCCAGACTCAGACCCAAACCCGGACAGAGGCACCCAACAAACTAGCCAACCAACAGCCCGACCCAGCCATGGCCTGGGAACCGGTCAGAACGTGAAATTATTTACCGTTGGCCCGGGCCCCGGGCTAAAAAAATTGGGTATTTTATTATAGGTTTTCTAATTTCATAAATCGCTTGTAAATAATAAAAGTTTGCAATAGCCTCTTATTAAATTTCTAGAAAATATTTCCCATATTAATTATAATAATAATTAATAGTAATAATAATAATAGTAATAAGAAAAATTTTGACACTCGTTCACGTCTGTTATCAAGTCTATTAATAATAGTTTGATAGATGGGAGAGCTTTCCATTGAACAAATATAGGGATACATCTACATATTTCACAGCTATATGTTATATCGAAAAAGACTTCATTTTGAATGCGATCCACTCATTGCTTTAAAATGCCAGGATTACAATACATGTGTATTCGGTCAAATATAAGGCGCTTGTAGAATTGTTATTGGGTTGACAAGAAGGATTACTATATCTTATAGACATATGTATATCATTGATAGTATAATCCTATTTACTAAACAATATATTATATTATTAATAAGAATTTAGTACCTAGAAGAGCAAAAAAAAAAAATGAAAAACTCCTTTAATATTTAGTTCTAAACTATATACATTGATAGATGTGTGCAAGGGAACATGCATTTCAATGATATCCTCGAGATAATTGTATTGCAGAGATAATAATAATAAACTACCCCGAAGTAAATGTGCGGACCACCCTTACAGCTTGCAACTGCAACTGTGTAAGTAAATGTTACCTACTCGCATGTGTATGTGTGTGTGTGAGTGAGTATGCGAGTGTGTGAGTGTGCATACTTCGCAGGGCTAACCCCTAATTGCAGTACCATAAAAAACTGCAATTTAAACAAAGGACAACGAATGAGTAGAGCTCTCAGAGCGACAAGAGAGAGGAGATATTGCTGGCAGGAGAAGAGCAGGAACCGCCAGGCACCAGGCACCAAGCTGCAGGACTGCAAGGATTAGACATTAGCCGCAGAAGCAGCACTAGGAGATGAAGAAGAAGAAGAAGAGCACACCCCAACGGCATCAAATTATGCGGAACTGCATTTTCACTTTTGCCACAGAGAAATGAACACGATTTGCACTGGATGGCGAGATGGCAGTGGGGATCGGGTCAAGTTGATGGAAGCTGAAGTAGCATCTGTTTCTGTCTGCTGCCAGTTGGCCGTTATCCGTTATGTGTGCATACAATGAGTGTCCTGCGTCTCGCCTCCCGCCTCCCGCCTGGCGTCAGATGCGTCCTGCGTTTTGTGGCACTGTCAAGATGCAAATTTCGCTCGCACATGATATCGAAAATCTCGAGAACTGCACCCAATCAACTGGAAATTACCAAGCGTCGAGTTAAGTGCCCAGCAGCAGCAGCAGCAGCACCGACTCACAGTGCGCAGCTGAATTGATAACAGATTCAGCGAAACAACAGCAACAACAATTACAGCAACAACAATGGCTAGCAAAAACAACAATGAAGGGCGATAAGCGACGCAAGCGGCTCGCGGCTCGCGGCATGCGGCACGCGGCCCACGGCTTCGCGGTTCTCGACTGCACAAGCTGGAGCCAGCCGGTGGGTCGGCCAGCGTCTAGCGTGGGCGTGGCAGCAGCAGCAGAACTATAGTGCACCCTGTTGCGCCAACGGCAGCGCGGCAGCAAATGCCGTTGCTCAGCTAGTCGTACCGCACTGAAAATCCATAGCCGGGCGAGGCGAGCGAGCCGGCGCGATGCGACGTCGCGTGAGTGCGAGGGAGACAGATGCGACTGCTGCGGCCATTTTGGTGGGAGCAGGCCCGCTATAGTCAACGGCAACAACAACAAAGACGCAATCATCGCCCTCGCGACGGCAGCGGCAGCGCCAGCGTCGCCGTCGACCGCAACTGCGCCCGCCACTGCAGCTGGTCAGCGGCCCAGTCTTTGGAGACTTGCCGCAACCTCGAAGCGTACGTACGACTGAGCAAGACTCTGAGCAATGGAATTCGACGTCTGCGACTCTAGAGAATCCGCTGCCTCTGGCTGTGTCTGTGTTCCTGTCTGTGTATGCGCGAAGCCTGAGCGAAAACTTTTGAGTGAAAGAATGGCAAGTGGCCAGAGATGAATTCCAGAGGCTCTCACTCATTCTCCCGACTTGAGCTTCCATAAACAAAATGGTACTTGGAATAAAAATTGATTTTTCTTTTGCCTCGATATTGTAAATTTACAAAGAATTTATTATTAATCGTGTAGTATATATTGTAGTAGGCAAATCGCATTATTTACATTGCATTATTGCACTAAACAATTTTATTAACTTTCATCTATGACTAATTAAAGTTTAAACATTCTTCTCGTTTCAGCTTTTCATTTGAAAAACTATTTTTAAACCAATTTATAATTTTATTTTGCTTGGTGTTGTGCTTTATAATGTTTGCAGATCAAGCCCATGAAACTTGTGGATTATAACTATAAAAATACACTTCAGAGCACGCAGGGTGGGTACACAAATTTATTAACTATGTAAAAGATATATGCATACATTTTTATTAGCATAAATATTAGCATTAAATCTGTGGGCGATTGCTGACAAAAAGCTGGAAATAAAAGCCTTGATGCATTTCAAATGAACATTGTTTACGGCCGTGTAAAGTCAAGTTACCAAAGCCCATAAACCCCTTTGTCTACTCCAATAAAAACGGGAGTAAAACATAATTCGATAATGATTTAATCTCGTCCGACGGCATTTTGCGCATGAATCGATCATAATTATGCGACTTGGGGCTCTCGCTTATCCTCGAATGATATCCCGCTTTAAAGCGCCCATTAACATGGCCGTAAAACAAGCAATGGACCGCAAGTTCCGTCGGGTCTTCTCCGTCTCTCTCCCTCTCGCTCTTGTAGTCTGCGGCTCAGTTTCGTCGTCTTAGAGTGATCAATATGATTTTGAAGAGGCATTAAAAGTATTATTCAAATTTCATCTCGGCTCCAGCTTTTGGACTGACGATCCGAGACTCGACTTCATGTGTTCATAAGTCGCTCCGCGTGCCCAGTTTCTCAATTTCATGAGCTCACTTGGCAGCTGCAACCATTTCTAATTTCATTTAAGTAATCAACGGCAAAGATGGTCGACGCGGCTCCATTTTAGCCTGGGGCTACAGTCCATTTAGGCGATTCAAAGTGAAGGTTTTATTTCGTTCTGAAGCTCGTACGTGCAGCAAAAGGGGAATATCTGGCCACTAGCTTTGTATGCCTACTCATGAGTCCCCTAAAACATATAAACTACATTTATATAGTTATCCAATTGGAGTTTGGTAAGATCTTGTCACATCCCTTGAGCCAAGATCGGCTTTGCAGCTCGACTCTCTACAAATTTGTGTAATATAATTGGGTGGGCGGTTAACGAGTATTGCACAGTCGGTTACGGTCGAGTGCAACGCTCTGAGCTTTTGTTTTTCTGTTTGTTTTTTGTTTTTGCTTGACTGGATGCCGCACAGAAATTACCCGATTTGTGTAATTCTCGCCGTGTTTCGATTGTCTCAGCACATTATGAATGGGCCGATAAAATGCATTCATTATTGCTATTAGTGACCGTAAATTGGCGAATAAATGTGACACAATGTCGGCCCGGCCGCTCTCCCTCTCCCTCTCCCTCTCCTGCAGCCTTATCCGGGAGCTGAGGCGCGTCATTGGCTGAGCCGATGCCAACCCGAATCCGAATCCGAATCCGAGTCCAAGTGGCATGGCTGACGCCGCTGACAGAGACGTTATTCCAGTTTTAAATCTGCTGCGGAATGCGGGCAGGGATGCTGGCCGGGCAGGGCAGGGCAGGGCAATTAATTCGATGCACTTAATGCCCTCATAATAAGGTGTTTTTATTATGCAACAAGAGATCAACAATATGTTTGAGAGCACTTAAATGCGCCGATGCACCTTTCCCCACTGTCCACCCGACAGAGCGCAGCATCTGCGAAAATATTATTTTCCCAATTATTGAGTACCCCTGCTGCCAGCAGGAGGCAAGTGTTTTCAAATATTCGACTGCCATTTTGGGTAATATTCGAATGAAACAGCAATTGTAAATTTGTAATTTCTGGGCGCAATCGTAAATATAGTTATCATCTCCGAGTCCGATTCTGAGTTCGAGTCCGACCCGAGTCGGTGCTAATTATCAGGCATTCGCAGTAGCCGCTTATCGCCAGCTAATGATTTTTACTGTCACTTAAATACAGATTTAATGACTTTATTAATTCAATTCATTTCAATTTGATTCTCCCCCGTCTGCTGTCCGTCTGACAGTCGCTAGGGGACACCTTGCGATCAGCTCGTGCTCTCTGCATTATCAGCTTTTCCCCCTCACCTTCCTCTCCCAGCACCCTGCTGCGGAGAGCAAAAGGCAAAAGCTCTGTAAAGGCGAAACAAAATGAACAAATACTAAGTAAAAAATTTATAATAAATTATTATAATAAAGAAATTTAATAATGTGCAATCAACGGCTTTTGCACTCGCTCGATGCCTATGAAGTCCCATAATTATAAAATAATCGCTTATTATGGAGCAAGACTCGATTGGCTTACATTAAGTATACCATATATGTTCCAGTTCATCTGAAATTGTTTCGGTTTGAGCTGCATACATCCTCTGACGGGAATCCATTGCTGCTTAAAAATATATTCATTTCTCTTTAATAAATCACACACAAATATAGTCAAAATTAACCAAAATTACTCACAACTTTTTATGGCATACATCGATCATTTTAAATATTTATATTAAATACCGAACACAGATAAATGAAATTCAGTTTATTCAGCTGTGGTGCTTTATGATGATATGATTTCTCATTCCATTTCTGTATATAACTAAGTATGAATGGGTTCCCATGACATGAGCAATATTTAACCTATAGAAAGAACTGTAACGTGTTTTCTCTGATAGAAATAAATTAATATTAAATATTAACATTCAAATCTTCGATTTTAATCTAAATTGATTAAAGCAATGAAACAAAATGGACTGCATTAACACTTTGAAGAAACCCCGTTGTAGACGTAGAAGAATTAGGTAATAGCATGGCATCATTCACTTGGGAACAATTAAAATGATAATACTTAGAAATTAAAACGCCATTAACGTACACGAGAAAAGGAATTCAAAAGCATCAAACAGAAACAAATTATGGATGCAACACAGATTTATGTGGAATTTCAACTCCAATTTAAATCTAGTAATTGGCATTACTTGAATTTGCATTGGAGATATCAATCTGAAAAATGGTAAAGATTGACAGATATGAAACTGTGAGAATAATTAATATAAGCTTAAGTATCAATAAAATAAAAATATATAAAAATATATTTTAAGCTCTCTTGTTTTGTATCAATAGCAAAATGTTTTGCATACAAACAAAAGGGCAGAAGAAAATACAGAATGGGCGTGCTATATACATAACCAATATTCTCGTTTTACGTCTTAAGCAAGTATAACGAAATATAAAACCATGATGTTTGTGTATAAAATATTTATTTCCTTTATCTGAGAGGGGAATCACACGCTATTAATGATAGAACTCCGAAAAAACATGTAAATTAAACATATTTTACAAACGAGCAGATCTATAAAGATAAAGTTGATATTGAGTGTGGATTATGGGAGTGTTTTATATGTACACAACGAGACTGTGTGTACTGGAGAAGGCTTTCCAAGATCTGAAGAAGAAACTAAAGTTGCTTTTATCTATGATACAAATAATATTAAACAATAAAAACTAATAGTAGAAGAGAATAGAATAGAATAGAAATACTAAATAATTATACGTAAAAAAGACAAAGTCTCTATTGATACATATATTTATAATAATATACAATATACAATATACAATAGTATTTAAAATAATAAAATAAAATTATAAATTAATATTATTAAAATAATTTATAAATCAGGCCAAGTCTCTATCGATCTATTTATCCATAATAACATAAAATACTACTGAATAGAGTATTATTAAATAATTAAATATACAAATCAGCTCAAGTTTCTATCGAATCACATAAGTCCACGCAAAGTTTTTATGGACCGACGGACTTAAAAATACTCTTTTAAATTCGTGAGCCAAATACAAAGGAAATATCGGATACAATATAATAATAATGCTGGCAATGAACGAGTTCGATGATACTTGAGTAGACCAAAAATACTCGCCCTGCTGAGTTTTCTTGAGGCGAACGGGCGTTGGGCAATCGAGCAATCGAAACTAATTAAGTGCAGAGCAATTAAAGCTAAAGTAGATATTGGCAATATTTCCATTTAACAATATGAATATGCCAATGCACTCCACTTCACTCCACTCTGGCATGGCATGGCATGGCTTGGCGTGGCATATGGCTGGCTAATGTCCCATAAATTGGCAGCGAAACACGAACTTGGTTAGAAAATCGTTAGTTTAAGTGACAATTAAATAAATCGAGAGATGTCACAATGACAGCGACAACGACAACAACAACAACAACGACAACAACAACGACAACGACTCCAACTGCAATTGCTGAGCGACAACAACGATTTTTGTGTGAGCAACTTCAACCTGCACTCGCACTCCCATTCGCATTCGCACTCCCATTCGCATTTGCATGTTGTGAATTTGATATGCACAACAGTTATTTGGATGGCAGCCAAAGGAGAAGCAGGAGTCGAATGGAGGCCTCGGCGACTCGCGACTTAGTTCTTTGTTAGCAGTTCGCACGCATCCGACATAAATTAGCGAGATTTATGCGACGGCCGCTGCGCTTAGATTTCGCTAGAAAACCACCAGAACGGGCCGCAGACAGGAGTGGGTGGCAGCCAGGCTGTGGAGCCGTCGTCATCAGAGCTCATGGAACATAATGATAGCGCATGGCCCACGAGATAGCAAATCGATAATAAATTAGACTCTTTGGCGACACGTTTCCTCCGCGCCTGCAGCCACACCCAGAAAAGAAAACTCGCAGTCATCCCAAGCGAGCTCTCCTTCTCTCCCCCTCTCTCTCTCTTTCTAATGCGGACTGGCATTGCTTGCCTCGCTCTCGCATTGATTATGCACAAATTTAGTTTGTAGTCGACAAATCGATGGAATATGCAAAATATTGTTTGGATATTTAGCCAGCAACAGTCGCAGCCTCTACCTCCGCCTCTACCGTCGCCTCTACCACCGCCTCTACCTCGACCTCCACCTCCACCTCCACCACAGTCTTAGTCTCAGTTTCATTTTCAGTTTCGGATAGCTAATGGGATTCGCCTAACCCAACAGATAGCAGCAACGAAAACAACAACGAGTTAAGAATCCTCTCGGGGCCTCAACTCTTTCGGATGGCCAAGTGAATGTTAATTTGGAGCAGACATTTTCTTTGTTTCGTTTTTGGTTGACTAAAATGAAATGCAAATGCAGAGATCGCTTTTGGCTTTCCCGTTTGAAAACTAATATTGTAGCAGCGCTATCTGCATTTGGGAATCTCAGAGCACC